GGACATGCTGGACCCGGGTCTGGATCCCGCTGCTTCGGCCACCGCTGCTGCCGCCGCCAGGTAAGGGCGCCAGGCCGGTCCGCGCCCCTCGCCCGAGCCCCGGCCCTTTGGCCTGGCGGCCGGGCCGCCATGATCCCCAGTGGCCGCCAGGCCCAGCTCAAAATGGAGGCCGCGAGGGAGGGGTACCCGGCGCCTAATACTCCCGGCCCCTGGCCCTAGAGGCGCCCCCAGCCCCGGACCGGGCCGGGCGGTATAGAGGCCCTGCACCTGAGCGAAGGGGCGGGGGCGTGGACGGCCCTGACCCCCTCTTCCCCCCGTCCTCCTTGCAGCCACGACAAGGGACCCGAAGCAGAAGAAGGCGTCGAGCTGCAGGAAGGTGAGTGCGCGCGGGCCCGCTGGGGCTGCGGCTCGCGCCCGGGGAGGGGGCTGGGGCGCCTTGGCCGGGCCCGGCGCTGACCATCCCCCTGCCCTCCTCCGACCGAGGACAGGCGGGGACGGCCCTGGGGCGGAGGAGCAGACGGCGGTGGCCATCGCCAGCGTCCAGCAGGCGGCGTTCGGCGACCACAACATCCAGTACCAGTTCCGCACAGAAAATAATGGAGGACAGGTGAGGCATGGGCTGGAGCTGGGTGGGCCGGCGGATGGGCGGGCCGGCGGATGGGTGAGCCGAGCGCTGGGAGGGGGCTTGAGCCTGGCCCCCTGCGCAAGACCCAGCGCCGGCCTCGCTGTTCTGCCGCCCCCTGCAGGTGACATACCGTGTAGTCCAGGTGACTGATGGTCAGCTGGATGGCCAGGGGGACACGGCTGGCGCGGTCAGTGTGGTGTCTACAGCTGCCTTCACCGGGGGTCAGCAGGCTGTGACCCAGGTGGGTGTGGACGGCGCAGCTCAGCGCCCAGGCCCCACTGCTGCCTCTGTGCCCCCAGGTCCCGCAGCACCCTTTCCTCTGGTAGGTACCCAGCAGCCCCTGGGGGGTGGAGGGGTACGCTAGCTTTGGGAGCCCCGGGGGTGGGGCAAGTGGGACACAGGTGCTACCTTTAGGCCATCAGATCATCTGGACTCAAATTCGTGTTAATGCAAGGGGAAACCTTGGGCAAGATCTTCTTTCCAGGCCTCAGTGTTTTCTCTTTAAAATGGGCCTGATGGTAATAGGAGAGTCTCAGAGATAAAAACGGATGGCTCAGCAAGTTGTTGCTGAGTATCTGCCAAGTTCCAGGACTATCTGGACGCATAGGATAGAGTGGCACGCTACAGATGTTCCCCATCCCCACAGAAGATGTAGCAAACATCAGACACACCAACAAGGGCTGGGATGGGGGAAATAGAGATAGTTACATAGTTACGGGTGACTTCTGTGTCCTATACCCAGGCTGTAATCCAAAACCCCTTCAGTAATGGTGGCAGCCCGGCAGCTGAGGCTGTCAGTGGGGAGGCACGATTTGCCTATTTCCCAGCCTCCAGCGTGGGAGATACTACGGCTGTGTCAGTACAGACCACAGACCAGAGCTTACAGGCCGGAGGTAAGGGGAGAAAGGGGCCAGGACAGAGGGCGGTGGGGGCAACAGCCTTAGCAGGGAGGGAAGCCCCCCAGCCAGTGCTGATTTGGCCCCCACCTGTGGCACTAACCCCTCCTTTTCCTGCAGGCCAATTCTATGTCATGATGACCCCACAGGATGTGCTTCAGACAGGAGCACAGAGGACGATTGCACCCCGGACACACCCCTATTCCCCGTACGTACAGGAGCCTTGGTCCCAGGGACGGGACCCTGGGAGGGCCTGAGGCTGGGTCTAGTGGAAAAGGACGTTTTCTGGGATGAGACCTGGGCCGTTCAGTACACCGCAGGCACTTTATGTATTTGTTGTTTTGTTTCTGCTTCTGCTGTGTAAGTAAAGAGAACACATTTTCTTGTCTCTTCTCTGGATACAGATTTATCTTGTAAAGATACTTTTTAAGCCTCATGGTTTAACAAGTATTCCGGTAGGCGGGACCTGAGATACCATGTGCCTATTTTCTTTTTTCTTCTTCTAGGAAAATCGACGGAACCAGAACGCCCCGGGACGAGAGAAGAAGAGCTCAGCACAACGAAGGTAAGGATGAGGTGGGGCTCCTGAGCTAGGCCAGGCTGCCACCCACCCAGGCAGTCCTGGCGTCTGGAGCCACAGAGAGCCAAGCAGCTCTGGCCCGTTCCCGGGCACACAGTGCTCGACGGCTGTCTGTTGAATGCTGGGAAGGTAGAAAGTGAGTGGGGAGGGCGTCAGGCTCAGCGTTGGGAACAGTCAGGAGGGGGCGTGAACTGGAATCCATGCATTTTGTCATGCGTGGCTGGTGGTTTTGAATTAACTGCCAACGTCCAGGATGGGAGATTTCATACTTATATATGGATTTCTTGCCACCCTTGAAAAATTGGGTGATCTGGCTCCCCTAGACCCATCTTTGCTTGGGGCAGCCGTTGGAAAAGTGGAGTGCTACTCCTGGGGTGTGAGCCCCCGCCGTGGCCCCCGCTGCCTGAGAGGGTCGGGTCGGCAGCTGCTTAGCCCACCCTCATTCTGCCGCCTTCTGGCCCCCAGAGGCTGCGCTCATTGGCTAGGGAGCAAACCCAAGGAAACACTTCTGGCTGACGGAGGCCCGAGATGTGCCCTTCCCGTAAACACCAGATCGCAGCCTAAGTGAATTTTTAGCCCACAAAGCTTTCCCCTAGTCCCAAACCAGTCCTTATAGCCACATGCAGCTGCCAGTGGGATGCTTCACACCCAGACAACCGTCATTCGGCAAATATTTACTGAACGTGGATTCCGGGCTGAGCAGCATGTGCCCTGTGCAGGTCTGGAGCCTGACCTGAAGTGTTAAGGGGTTTCAAAAGAGGGAAGACTTGTTTCTGACTGGTGGGGAGGTTACGTGAGGTGTCCCCAGAGAAGTGGCCTTTGGAAATGCCTGTCAGGCAGAGGGGAACACAGACTGGAGAGAGGAAGGCAGAGTGGGGTCAGGTTGCTTCAGCTGCTACTGGTTTGGTCATTGCTGAGGGTCCTTGTGGAGTGCGTGAGGGGGGCAAGGGTTGGCCCATGGAGCTGTGTTTTAGGCAGAGCTTTGAAAAGGTTTATTCTGGTTAGAACCCCTGCTGAGAATTTGCATTTCCACCTCAGATATACTGAATCAGAATCTACAGTTTAACAAGATCCCCAGGTGATTCTTATGTATGATAAATTTTGAGAACTGCTGTTCTACTAGCGATTCTCAGATTTGATCCCTAACCAGCAGCATTCAAACTGGTTGCCGTGGAGTCGATTCCAACTCATAGCGATCCTATAGGACAGGGTAGAGCTGCCCCGTAGGGTTTCCAAGGAGCGGCTGGTGGATTCGAACTGCTGACCTCCTGGTTAGCAGCTGTAGCTCTTAACCACTGTGCCACGCTTGGTTGCTAACCGAAAGGTTGGCAGTTCGAACCCACCAGCTGCTCCGCGGGAGAAAGATGTAGCAATCTACTTCCGTAAAGATCACAGCCTTGGAAACCCTATGGGGCAGTTCTGCTCTCTTCTCTAGGGTCGCTATGAGTCGGAATCAACTTGATGGCAGTGGGTTAGTTCTGGGTTCTATGAGGATTCAACGAAAGAATACATGCAGAGGGCTGAGTACCGAGTTCAGCCGGCAGTGGGTTTGAGTTTGGGAACTTGTTAGCAATGCAGATTAGCAGAACTGGTTGCAAGCCCTGGTTTCAGGCAGCGCGCTGAGCTCAGACGCAGTGGCTAACACAACTGAAGAATCAGGCTTTCGGGAATCAGGGTTTCATGCTGGGGTCAGGTGGGCCCTTGTGGGAGAAGGGTCAAGGAGGAGAGCTGGTTAGAAGGGAAGGAGGTGAGTTTGAGGGGCCTCCAGTGAGCTTTCCTGGCAGTCCTGGCCCCCCGCTCACTGGCCACGTGGCCATAGGCTGGTCCTTAATTCCACACCTGTCTGGTTCGCTGTAAAGTGGTGTTGACACAGCTACCCT